CTTTCTTGCGGGCTGATGAATGTCAATGTCTTCGTCAGCCACCTGTTTCAAGAAGGGCTCAACTGGAAAGCCTTGAAAGATTAGCGCCTCTCTACCTAGCATAATTCTTGGTGGTTTTGCCACTTCAACAAAGAGAATCTTTGTACTTGGCCCAAGGCCTGGTGGCAAGCATATCCTCTGCCTCACCTGGGTCCTGTGCCAGTGGGTTTGGGTCTGTGCTTTTGGCAGAACACAGACAGCATTGACAAGGTTTGCTGTGAGCCACCGATATGGGCCACTTGGCACCAGCAGAGCTAGTACAGCCTAGGTCGCTCGGCGCCGTCTGGTCTGCCTGGTCATCTTCGCTGCCGGAGGCCATCGCAAGGCAACGCTGCGCGCAACCCAACTTTCTTGGACTTTGAACAGTCACTGCAGCACAGGTGCTCCAATGAACAACATTGAATTGAATCGAATTGTGACAAATCAGCAAACAAATGTTGGAATTTCTCGGGAAATGTCGAAACATTTGGGGAAACAATTGCCAACACTTTTCTCTACAAATGGTTTGTAGAGATTTCATATATATACATATTCCCAGATAATGTTTCTTTATATATCTATATGATAGAAAAACTGTTCTCTACAAATCATTTGTAGAGATTTTGACGGCGATAGTTTTGGACAATTGTTGTAAAATAAAAATAGAAAATTAATAGATATGGTAATTCTAACTAAAAATATTGACTGTCATAGTCGGTACCACTGGCTCATGCCTAAGATAAAAGGTCAACCTCAACACATTCTAGTCAAAACAACTTTGCCTGACACTGATTGCTTCAGCTAGCCGAGCGCAAACCTCAAAGCAGCCGTTTTTTTAATGCCTAAGCAATATTCTGATTCTCCAGAGCTGAAATCTACTGAGCGAAGCCCCCCCCATTGATAGATGCAATGATCGCTCTTGGCCTGCTGGCCAATTCTTGTCATCCAACCCTGCCATCAGCCAACGTTTGAGACGAACCCTGCACTCTTCCTCAGGTAAGTCGCCTGTGGTCAACGCTTTTCTGCACGAGGTTCCTGGCACATCGCCGGAGTTCTGGTGCAACCCACAGATTGCGCCATAACCAGTTCGCACGCCTTGGGTGTAAATGGGCGCTAGATAAAATGCACCCCAAGACTCACCTCTGCGTTGGCGATTTGCTGTGGCAGAGGTCACCTCTGCAGGATTCGAAGCGGGGCCTGGGGCAAAGGATGCTCAGATGCGCCGCTTTGTTTTGCCCTGCTGGCTGCAAAGCTGGAAGGGTCAAAGTGATCCGCCATTTCCAACCTTGAAAATGCGCTTGTTGGTTTGACCTGATCAACTTCATCATCACTATTTTGACTGTTGTCAGATCCATGTTCGGAACCAGGGTCCAACCCAAGAAGTTGCCTTTCCACTTGCAGACCTGTTGCTTTGGATCGCTTGCAAGCCAGGAGGCTCTGCGTCCATGATCACCAGGTTTTCAGACAAGACTTTTTCAACTGCTTTTGTGAGGTCTTGCAGAAACTTCCCTCGGCGGGTGCTCTTGGACACGCAAAATGAACCTGGCAATATGCCTAGATGTTTGGTTGCCCTTTCAATGACATTTCCATTTCGATGCTGGGCGCACAGGCTGGGAAATATGAAGGAGTTCTGCGGCATCACTGCATGCAAGTGTTTGAGCAGCCGTATGTTGGCTGCATGCTGGTCACACGACACCAGCACAGCAGAGAACTTTGCTGGAGACCCAATGAAACCAGGCCCAAGGGTGCCTTGGTCCAGGCACAGCGCGCCCCACATGCACTCAGCCGTTTTACGAGCAAGGGCCTTGCTATGTCAATCTCCACATTCTGGCCTGCTGCACAGATGCTAAGTTGGCTGTGGCTTGCCAAGACTGACCAGCTTGCAGACCCAACTTGTTTCAAAGAAACATCCAGCTCTGTCTCGTCGAACATCAGGTTCACTATGTGATACAGCAGCAAACCTCTTTCACGCAGCCGGTTTATCTCTGATTGGATATGCTTGGCTTGACAATCAAGGAGGCACTTGCCAATGAACATGCGGGCTTTGATCACATGGGCAGCACTTGCCCCATCAACTTCCCTTGCTGCTTGCCTTACTGTTGCAGTAGCCTCGCCAAAGGCGGCCCTCAAAATAGCCTCAGGCGTCCACTGCTTCCAAGCGCCTCGACCTTTTGGTTTGGGCCTGGCTTCATCAGCAGGCTGCAAAGGAAGCAAATGATCTAGGGTTCTATGGCGCCCTGACGCATTGGACGCTTGAGCCTGCAGCCTGAACGTGTCTGCCCTGTGCTCTTTTCTTTTTTTCCTCAAGAAACTGACCCGGCTTCTCCTTGCATTCATCCGCCTAGCTCTTGCCCTGAAAGCATTGGCCAAGCCACGGCCGCCACGCCCCAGGCAAACACAACGCCCAAGGCGGCCACCAACTCCAACACCACGCCCAAGGCGGCCACGTCCACCAGCACCAGGTCTAAGACCGGCCCTAGCAGGCTGCTGGCCACCAAGCGCAATCCCTGCCAAATCATGTAAGCTCAGCATCGCCCCCACCCATTCAGCATGGAAGCGAAACTCTTTCGCCAATTGTGGGGGCCATCTTGAACCAAAGGATTGATGGAGGAAAGTGAACCAGACATTATCACAACATGTGAAAAGGCTAAGGATGGAGGCAGCTATCGATGTGATGCATGTTTTTTGTTGCTGTTATATAGCAGCCCCAGCCATCGATGTGATGCATGTTAAACCGACCATTACTAACTTGCATGTTCAGTATGTTCAGTATGTTCAAAAGGTTTGCTTGCGAACAAACATGTTGAACATAAGCAACAATTTCAAAAACAATTGCGCAGCAATTGTTGCTAATATTCAACAATTCCAAAGCAATTGCAAAACCATTGTTGCAAATATTCAACAAATTCAAAACAATTGCAAAACAATTGTTTGAAATATTGAACAATTGTTGAAACAATTGTTGAATATATTGAACATATGTTGAAACAATTGCTTTACATATTCCAACAGTTGCAAAACAATTACCCAAACAATTGAACAATTGCAAAACAATTGAAAACAAATGTTCAAACAATTGCCGGTGACTATTTCGGAGCCCCTTGTAACCCTTCACCAGAGGCTTCTTAAAAACAATCAAGTTGATATCATGTATTCAGGTTCCACCGTTGAACAAAATCATTCTGTTCAAGGTGGTAGCATTGCAGCGTAGTGTGGCCTTGTACATTGTAGCTGATTGATGGATAAGAGATGATAAGATGACTTTGTTTGTTGGGCGCTGCTAGATCTCCATCCACGCCTTTGGTCAGAGTCATCCAAGGCAATACATTTGGTCTGGCTCTGGCGGAGGCTTTTGCATCTATGAGTCACATGTGATGGCAACTGCTGACCTTACGTAGCATGAACATGTCTCACGCTTGGGTTGTGAATGAAGCACTTAAATACGTGGTAAGGCCACACACGAATTTGCGGATAGCACTTGATCTGCGCATGAGTCATGGCAGGTGCAACTACTATGCAAGTGAATTATGGCGAGAAGGCAGCGCAGCCTTCAGACACCCCTGGCCCCTGCTCAGTGAGTTGCACACGATGTGATGCCAGGCGCCGCCCTCTGCTATGAAGCAGAAGGTCGTTCGCAAGGAGGATGGAACGGAGACAACCATGGTGCGCCATAGCAGTTTACACCGTGTCGCTGGCTGCGAATTGAAGCACTGGAATGCGTTGGAACGACCAAGACAAGACAAGAGTTTCTGACCACCTATATATAAATGACATTAAATGACCAACCACAACCACCCTGCTGGATGGATCTGTAGAGCTATCAGAACGTTCAGCGCAGACTGAATGACTTCGTCCCAACATCCTTTCAAGGTGGATGCCTCTGCTGACATTGTCCCAGAGGCCACGACACTTGGCTGGATTCCTTCGATAGCGTGGTGTATCCATGGTGAGATGTCAGAACCAAACAGGGGTACAGTGAACTGGTGAACATCTATTAGCTTTAGCATTTGAATAGTATAGCTTCCGGAAGCGGTTTGGGATTTGTCCTCAGAGTTCCGAGGTTCTCATTTTACATATTACATCATATTACATTAAATTACATGTCTCATATTGGGCACGATCTGCGTATCTACACTTGGCGGCATGTTGAGTGAATCTTTCACCCCTGCAGATCCCCTGGACAAATCTCTTGTAGTAACAATAAGCTAGTAGTAACAAGTGCATTGCTACTAGTAACAAGTGCCTTACTAGTAGTAACAAGTGCCCCGCACGTGCCCGCCAGATGAGCTCGCCAGAGTTCGGCACCCGACGGTCAGTGGTGGGCAGTGCCATGGTCCCTGCGGAGGACACGGCTTGATTGTGTAATAGTTGAGAATAGTTTTCTCATTCAGTCATTCAGTTGATTCATCTTCTGTTGCCTGTTACACAGCCGTGAGGATTTCAAGGCACACACTCTAGCCGATGAGCTCTCGGAGGCCTGGGAATCCAGCCTGGCTTTGAGAATCTAGGAGCTCCGATGGGTCTTAGAATGTCTTAGCTCTAGTTCTGTAGACGTGTTTGTTGGCTTTTGAGGAAAGTGAACCCCTTCAGCACCCAGCAAGGTGTTTTTTGTTGGATGGTTGACGGGACGGTCTCTTGACTGTGGCAACCACAAAAGATATGCAAAGGTGTGCATGGCAGTGCATGGCAATGAAAAGAGGCTTCAAGCGCTGCAACTGCCCAGGCACAACAAAGGATAGATAGAGATAGCGTGTTGTCGCCTTCCCTGAGCCAGACATGGCACGAACCATTTACACATATCGTATATATATAATATGTATATAGGTGCCTATAGTGCTTAGGGCAGGCTATTCATTCAGCACATGGTCTTTGCGCAAGTTTAATGGTTCTATTTTGGCTATTTTGGCTAGCTTTAGCCAAAACAGCTTTGTGGAGTGAAACTCTAAGAGAGAACCTCTCTGCTCAGCTTTTGTGCGTTGGTCATGGACGACCATTCGGTGGTGCAGGTTTGGCGTGAGATAAATGGAGTCACTGATGATGGTGATTTTGCCTGTTTCTTCAGTTCGTTTGAAGAGGCCAAGCAGGAGGTGGGCGACCTCATTGCCTTTGCATGGCAGCAAGCTCGGCAGCAGGCCGAGGGCGGAGTGGACAAGGTGGTCCAAGCCATGTTGGCTCGCGAGGAGAAGCCAAGCCCGCCGGCCCCTCAGGTTAGGCAACCTGCACCATCTATTAAGGTGAAGCCGAGTTCAGCACCGCGTGTTGTGCGGCAGGCGGCAGGTGGAGAAACCACCATCTCCGAAGGAGCCGTTCCGCCAGTCGTTACAAGAGATTGCGGTGAGTGCCAGTTGGTTCAAGCCTGGCCAAGGAGAGACGCAAGATGATGTTATCAGGGCCATGCAGCCCATGCTTACGTCGTTGTTGGAACAGACTGAGGTTCCCACTCTGAAGCGAGTGGTGGCTACCTGGGCCGAGTTGGCCAACTGGGGCGAATCCCTCGGTATCAACAACATGCAGTATGTTTCCGCCAGCCAGCTGAGCCGATTTTACCAGGAGTCGAAAGCTCCTTCCCGTGTCCTCCCAGCCATGCAATGGATGCGCAACAACCTGCGCGTGCCATGGGACCTTTCGCTGTGCGTGGGGCGCGGCGAAGGGGAGACATGGTGTTGGTGCTCGCCAGCACCCACTGCTGAGCCAGCTATGCTGTGGGCCCTATTGGAAGCAGTTGCACATGCCACTCAGAATGACACTGCAGCTGCGCCGGCCCTGGTGGTGACCTATCTTCAGGTCTTTGGCTGCCTTCGGGTCGAGCATGTGCACCGCTCGAAAGTGCTGAAGGCCAACAGCCACTCTGTTTACTTTTTGTGCCCGAGAGGCAAACAGAAAGGGCATCGGCATGGGTTCCTGTGGGCAGGTCCCCGCCGATCACTTCATCAACCAGACCGCCGAGGCCATCGGGTTCGACATTGAGACTCGGAAGAAGCTGCGAGCGAAGTCCATTTTGGACACGGTGCGCCTGGCGATTCGGGGGGTGGTCCCTGATGATGACCATGCTGTCCAGCAAATCCTGGAGGCAGATGTCGATCACATGGGCTATGTTGGCTGAGGTTCCCCCACCCACTACTGGCCTTGGGGAACTGGGTGGACAAGCCGGCTGCTGCCCAGCGCAGCCAGATGCCGTTGCGCTACACAGGGGCCAAGCAGTTCTTGGCGCTGCAGGCAAAGCATGCTTTCATGTTTGCCATGATGTCCCTCACCCAGCTGTCCAAGAAGGTTCTCAAGTGGGATGATCTTGGGCACAAAAGCTCTACGTAGCTACCCGTGAGAGGAGCTTCGATCGAGCCTCCACTGTCCTGCAATTAAAGGAGGTAGTCTTTTTCAGAGCCTTAGATTCACTTTCAGAAGGCGAATTCGTTGATGCAAAGATTTTTCACGATTCGAGGTCGAGGCTTCAAGGCCATGCAGCAGCTGTCGAAGAAACAGCGAGAAGTCCAGGCTGCGGAGAACCTGCCCGCTGACGCAGAAAGTGCCGGTGTCGCTGCGGGGACGTGGAGGTCGCTGAAGAGGAGGAAGAGCTTCCGTTCCTCCCAGTCGAGGAGCCGGTGCTGGAGCCAGGCGATGATGCGTACTTTGATGAACTCGCCGCCAAAAGGTGGAGGAGCGTCAGGGCCATTGAGCCCCACAAGATGTTGGGCGATCGCTACAGGAAGTTCACCAAGCGGGTGCATGATCGCGCCGAAGCGTGAGACCTTGCCTGAGAACTTCGCGGAGATTCCGCTGAGGTTCATTTCAGCTAAGGCCGACAAGTCCTTGTGGCACGTGGTGCCCGTCGATTTCAACTCAGATGCGCCCAAGCCCGGTTGTCAATGGAAGAAGCATTCTTTAAGAGCAATGTCTGCTTTGCGGACTCTGTGCAAGCCCCGCTGACCGTCCCGACGCCCGAGGAAAATAGGCGCGAGTTCTGATGTCCAGACCGTGAGACCCCCGCTGTGGCCATATACGTTATCTTGTCTAAGATCGTTCATCTGTGTTTAGCTTTCAGCATTCAAGATGGCTAGCCCTACTGCCATGTCGATCCAGCGGCTGCTGTTGCTGCAGTACCCCATTCGTGAAGCACCTTTTCCCCCATCCTTGTGGATTATGTTTGGACAGATCAGCCTCCTGCACAAGTTTGTCGATTCGTTTCCAGTTGAAGTCCACCGGCGTGGATGGTTTTCCTTTCCGAGCTGAAGGGTATCGTGTGGGAGATGCTGAATGGGTTCTCAGTTGGGCGGCATTTGGTTCACCGCTTCCTGACCCCGGTGCTCTGTTGGTGGAGGCGGTGGAGGTCACCAACTGCCAACGTGAGGCAGCCAACTGCCAGCAGTACTTGGTTGCCTGGGCCTTGAACCTGGACGCGATGTCAGGGTTGCAATTTCAAGCAGCGCTGGGGGGCGCCGTGGAGGCATGTGGTAGCCTTTTTTGCCGCACTACCGGAAGTCGAGCTGCTTGATGAACTGGCTGAGTACCTATAGGGGTAGATTCCGGCATAGTGCAGGGGCAGTATATGAGGCCGTGAGTTCCGTGATTCTGCTGGATTTCACTCGATCTGCATCGAACCAAGTGCATCCATCTTCTGACAGACCTGACAGTGGATTGATCAAATAGATCTTCTCACCACACAGTTGGAAACTTTCGGAAGTGATGCTTTGCGAATCTTTGCTAAAAAAACGAAGGTGAAATCACTCCACTGGTGCACTGACGTCGAATGAGATCCTCTGGCGGCGGTGTCCCCTGAGGTCCTGGGATACTGGGACCGCCCTTGGTGAGTTTCGCCAGGCGTATGAAAAGTCTGGTGGAGAAGCCACATCAGGCGGGAAGGGTCCGCGGCGTTGGCTGAATGCCATTCATAGACTGAAAGTCCTGAGAGATGTCAGTTTGCAATGGATGTCAACTTTTCGGCGCTTTTGATTTGGTTGGTGAAGACTTTTGTCACCCCGATTGCCGGGCTGGACAAGCCGCGGCTGCAAGCTGCGCGTGTGAAGCGCGCCTGGCATCGATTGCGCAGGCCGAGAAGGCTCGTGATGCGAGCCAAGTGGAGGGCGACCACTTGAGGAGGATGAGTGCCTTCCAGCCAGCACCCTTTCCTCCATGAAGGAGGTGTTTTGGAAGCGCTACCATTGGTTGCCGCCTCCTGAACAGCAGCCAAGTGATAAGCTGCTGAGCAAGTTGGGCCGAGCGCTGCAGACGAAGAACCTGGAGGTGATGAATATATGTTCCAGGCGCGGACTTTGGCGAATCAGCGAGTCGCTACCTCCAAGCGACGGAAGGTTGCGCCCATGGTTTGGGTCGGTGAAGCCGCCGACGAGGAGCAGGCTGCGCAGGAGGATTGTGCATCCTACCTGGAGTGCCTGTTCGTCTACATGGTCGCGTTGGCGATGGCAGGGGCCGGCCTCATTCCCCCAGCACCGACCGAGGCAGAGTCGCTCGCCACTCTTTCTCATGATTATGTTGAGTTCCCATTGGACTGGCCTGGAAGTACCATTTTCGGGCAGCGGAGGCCAGCAAGAAGATTGGTGAGCGCATGAAGCTCCCGCGCATCTCCTCCTTGGATCTGAACGAGAGGGCTGCTTGGTGCCAGAAGTATTCCACTGGCACGGAGAAGCTTGGAGCGATTGTTTATCGCATCTTCATGGAGAGGGATGCGCATTGGTCAGCGGTGACCATTTATACCCTCAGGGATCAACGGCCAGTGGGCCGCCGCCTGAGCCGGCAGGCGCACCGCCAGCTGCCCGGAAGCTTTCGACCACTTTCCGCGATGGAACAAAGCTATGTGGTCCGTGGCAGCATGGGCGATGTGATCGGCAACGTGATGCTCGGTGCCCGAATGGTGAACACCGTTGCGCGCACAAGTTGAAGAGCGGGCGCGTCTGCGGTGATCCGTATCACCAAGGGAGCAGGTGCAACAACAAGCAGAAGCTCTGAGGGGGGAGTACAGTTTCACAACCGGAGAATCCGGACCCTTCCAGCACCTCAGGCGCTTTGGAAGAATTCCATCAGCATGTTGCCGCTATCCAGAATGGATGGTCTGAGGTTGAGACAATGGATGATGATCAGCCTCAGGTCCCTGTCTTTTTGGATTTGCTGTCCGGACCGCATTTCCCATTAGCGCAGGCGTTTGAGTGGGCCGGTTGGAAAATTGTTCACCCATCGACATGCTCATCGATCGTGAATTTGATTTAGTCAAGCCTTCTGTACAGAAAGCCATCAATGCAGTCTTGCCTCAGTGTCACCTTGCGAGTGCTGCCATCGATTGTTCCACCAAGAGTCGAATTCGTCCAATCTTAAGCTGCCAGGAACGAACGCTCCGAAGCCTCTGCGAACCGAGAAGTTTCCTCGGGGACTACCCACCTTGACAGGTGCCAGCAAGGGCCGGGTGGAGAAAGATAATAGAGTCAGTGACTGCTTGTGGGCGATCCAGCATGTGATCAACCTGCATGAGCGGGGAGCTTTTCGGGAGAATCCCAGGAGGAGTCTTCACTGGGTTGATGCAGTGGAAGTCCACATGTAGCAAGATGGCTGTTGGTCCGATTTTTACTACGACAACTGTTGCTTTCTAGCTGCCAGGAAGAAAGCCCAAAAAAATTCGTCGCAACACCCCTGAGCTGAGGTCATTACCCAATTTGGTGTGCGCCCACATGCGCAACGAAGACCATTGGCGACCATACATGTCCCGATGGCCATCTCGCTAGGACTCAAACCATCTAGTGTCCCCGTACGCCAATGCGAGGTCATGTCTCTGACTTCTTCGAGCAGAACACCGGGCTCCAGTCAGGAGCGGTATACGCAGGACACGGGCAATTTCGTCACCGGCTCAGTCCTACCAAGTGGGAGAACCCATTTGTGGAAGGGCGAGATGGGACTCATGTTGACACCATATTCAAGTACATTACAGTGATGGGCCCCTCAACTTAAAGAAGTTAACTATGTTACCAGAGTTATAAATGAGTTATAAGCAAGTTATTGGACTTAGGTATTGGGAAGTTATAACTAAGTTGTAAGTAAGCTATAACTTCTGTAACTTGTTAGTTGCTACGCAAAAATGGTTTTCAATTGTTTTCAAAAAACCTGTAATTGTTGGCTCCAGAACTGGTATTTGTAGTTTTTTGCTATGGAAGAACACATTTCCAGGCCCCACAGCCCACATAGACGCGCGCAATTTTCTAGCATGGGTTACAATAGATTTGGTTTGTTGTTCTTTTTCTTCGAGGTGGTCCTCGGTCATTTTTTTGAGCGAGGTTGTCCTCGCCATTTGTTCTAGTCGATGCGCGCGATATCAATGTTGATTGTGACAATATGTTTAAAACGCACACTCGCATGAATATATGTGAAACTTTGGGCGGGCGACCGCCAACATGCTTGTGACAAATGTCTATACCGATGATCATGTGTTTCAAAGTGTGACAAGAACGGAAGACTGTTTCGTTTTGTCTTTATAAAAGTCTACGTTCATGTGTGACAATCCAGCGGGCTACCGCTGCATAAAGAGCGCGCGCTTTGTCACACCAAACACAAAACAGCGAGCGCGTCCACGTGCCACCAAACAGGCTGACGGAGCATCAACAAATCTGTCATGTTGATAGACTCTCTGCGGTCTGTGCGAACGAAAGACCGAGTGAACAGAGTGCTGGATGCAGTTTCTTGCAGTGGTTCCAAGATGCAAAATACAGTGTCCTGTTCCTCAGCAAAGAGATGAACCCAAGCTGCGCGCGCATCAAAGAAAATGATGTCATCCGACTGCAACAACATTTGTTGTAGATGGAAGGCATTGCTGACGCGCACGCGTTTCAAACCTGTAGCCTCTTCGACTTTCTGAGGGCTGTGAATGTTTCCTGCAAGTCGGTTGGTCCATGGATGTTCCTGCATATTCCACGCTTGGCGATGGAGCAGCCTCGGTAGAATGCGCTTGCTCGACTTTCCAGAACGAGCTTCAAACAAACCAGCCATATCGTCAGCAAGGCAAGCTTTGTAAGCTTTGTGTCTGGACTCGCAGGGCCAGCAATCAGCGTATCCGAGGCAGGCATATTGCTGTGGGAGGTGAAGCCTAAAGTGATGCTTGGGTCTTTCTTGTCCCTCGTAATGCCTCATGAAAGCACGCTGGTGCTTTCTTTGGGCATGGTCCAGCCGGGCGCAATCCCCACGACCTCGCCGCCACTCCTTCAATTCCAGAATGGCTTCGTACAATGCGTTGAGTGATTCCAGAGCTGGCAGCTCTTCGACATTGGTTAGAAGGTTTGCGTAATGAACCAGGAGAGGCAAAGCAAAGTACGTCTGAGAGGCACTGCCCTTGTATAGGTCTCCTCTCCAATAGGTTGCGTTGAAGAGCCATGAGCGAGAGCTTGGAGACCGGAACGATCTCTCTCTGCAGACCCAAGCCACTTCGCGCACACTCTCTTGTAAAGTGGCCAGACTGAAACCTGTCGCCTTTTGGAATAGCTCTTGGAAAGCTATCATCTCCGAAGAACAAATGCCATTGGCAAAGTATTGGTGCAGGCTGTCATACATGATGTTGCCAACACAGACCATTGCGCTTGCAGTTGGGCATGTCAAAAGTCCAGCATTTTGCAAACTAAAGCCCAAACAGGTTTCAAGTTCCTTGTGTTGGTCTTTGCTGTGAGCAGCTGCTTCTCGTAACGATTGCCGATACATCCCAATGAGCTCGTCTGCCTTTAGTAAGTCGAACTTGCTTGGGTCATCTTCCGAAATAGGAAGAAAGTATTCATCCAGGTTCATGACTTGGAGAGGCCCCTGAACAACTGTTCTTTATGACATAAACTCTTATATAAAGTGTTCATCTGGCAAGCAAACGCAAGGTGTTTTTCCACACATCCGACCTACATTTTCCACGCTTCCGACCCCCATTTTCCACATGGTCGACGCTCCGTTTT